GAAGGTCCTGGAAGGTCCTGGAAGCTGCTTTAGAGACCGCAGCCATACAAAGACCCTTTAATCCGTACTCTGGAGCTTTCCTGTTCTTCCCTGCAGGTCATCGGAGAGAGAGTCCACCTTCCTCACCCCAGCTCTGGGGAAGGAGATGCCGTTCCTCGCCACGTCCCTCCTCCCCATCCTCTCCTCCACCCCTGTCGCCGCCGCGCTGAGCTCGGGGACGTCAGCGGGAGACTCCGCCTCTCACAGCGGGGTCAGCATCAGGAAGCGGCGGCGGCTCGCTGCCAGTCCTGGAGGACTCCACTGGAACTCTGCAGGTGAGATCAGCCAATCACAAACCAGCACTTTGATCCGTGTCCACGTGATTTATGTAAATTAGGGTGGACAAAATATTAGAAACACCTCCCGCAGAACAACACCACCAACTGCAGCCTCCAACATGAACTTAAATCTCAGATTGAAACACAACAACTGAACTTTATAACCTTCATCAGATGTGTCGGTCTGATACTACGATGCAGACTGACACAGGTCTTACATTTGTTCAGTGTGTATTTGGAGCTCAGTTGTGTCTGGAAAGTGTTTTAATATCTCTCGTGTTGTTGCTTGTGCTAGCTGAGTTATCCTCCACAGACTCCTCGACAGGTGTCACCATCAGTGGACTTAATATCTGTCCGACAGACGTTTGTCCAACTTTCATTCTTATAGAATCCAAATGTCGCAGCGTCGCTCTTGTGGCGAGACCCTGGCTGGTTCCGGGTCCCGTACCGATGTAGTCGTATCTATAACTCGTATCAGTAAATCTTCACACCCATAAAAACTACCAATAGTGTATCAGTACTGACAGTGGGGTTGGTGTGACCCCACAGCCTAACTGTGCCGTCTCTGTCAGTCCTGGAGGAGCTGGTTCCTCTCTGATCTGCTCTCTCTCCTTCAGATGTTTATCCACAACGTTCTGGGTTGTGAACTCAGTGGAAACACAGCGCAGAACCTAGAACCAACAGTTAAAGCGTGCGGTGGTTTGAAACCGACGGGTGGGCGATGATCAGAGGGCTCAGCAGGAGTCAACAGGTTTGTGTTGGTGGATACAAACAGGAAGCAGTTTGGGATCAGTGTGAAGTTGTGGACGTGCCGTCAGGAATGTTTCTAACACACACACACAGAAAGTTGTTTATGCCGAGCAGCTTCCTGTGAGAGCGAGCTCGTCTTTAGCTCCACCCTTCTGGAGAATGATAACGAGCTTCCTGTCAGATTACAGCTCAGGCTCCATCTTTGTTCTTTAAAATAGTCAGTGTGAAGAGTTTAACGGAGGGAAAACACTAAATAATCAGCGTTTTATGGAGATTAAATATGTATTTCTGTTCTTTCCTTCAGGTCACTGGATCATTTGTGTGTTTACTCAAGTAACAGAAGTTAATATTGTCCCTTTAATCTGTGTCACTGCGGCAGTTTGAGCCCAAAATAATCAGCTGTTTCTGTG